TCCTGCTGGTGATGCTTACCTGGAAATACTCCAAACGAAAGTTAACAGTAAAGAAAGATAAGAGTAAATGAGACATTAATCCTTAGTTTTCTCCTACTCATTAGTTCTTCACCCTTCACAATCCAAAGGTCACAATTTAAAGAGCTGGGTGTTTTTTTCTTTCTTTGCACATGCAGCATACCTTAAAATATTCAGAGATTTAAGCTATATTTTCTTATCATTAATCCTATCAAAACAACTCTGTTATATTCTGGATGATGGAGGATTTCAAGAAAATTAAATATTAGTTAAATCTCACCTAGAACATTTCCTGCAGGTACTTCTTCAAGGTCTTCAAGTTCTCTTCCCATGAGCAAATAGAGATTCTCCAATGTACAGCAAGTCATATGAGGTACTACTGGCAGATCATCTGTAGCAGAACAGTCGGGTGACAGCTATACAGAGTAAAACAACGAGTGTTGGACATTTATCACTTAGTATTGATCAAAACCTCTTCCTAAAAAATTCCTTGCATTCCTAAATTAAAGAAATACATCCGGAAGCATTTTCATTTGTACTGAAATGCACACGTGCTGGATTTATTGGTAAATATTTTGGCAATTTTAATCTTTGTAATTACTATCAGCTGAATCTTCAAAAGCAGAGTATAATCTCTGCAGCAACTAACTTCAGCCTTACTTCCAAACAAGATACAAGAAATTTACTTTTTAGCAGGCAGGGTTCTGAGAGAAAAAGGAGGCTGTAATTGGACATAAAATCTTGAAGAAACTTAATAACATGCTTAAAAGTAAGTGAGAGAAGGCTAAGTATTCACCTCAAATCTGAAGAATACACTGATCTAGGATGTATTTCAGGACTGCCTCTCTCTTACTCCAGTAGGTGCTTTGTATGAACCCTCTATTTTCCAGAAAAGAATAAACCAATAGACTTTTTACGCAGAACTTTTCTATGAGAAGAACTTATGCAGAAGAGCTTCTCTATGTAAAAAGTTTAAGGTCAGACTTTCCTAATACAAATGAAACTACTTATGGTTTCCGTGATTTTACCTAGAACCAAATAAAACATCAATAGTAACAATTGCTGGAAAAATAAGAAACTGAATTTTTGTTCAATATAAAACAATCTGGACACATCTTACCTATGTGTTTAGCTAAAAAAATAACTTATTTATCAAAAAGAAATAAATATCCAGAAGAACTAGTAGGCTTTTCTCTCAGTACATCAGAAACTTCTTACGCACTGTTCAGGGAACATATGTCTGGAGACAGTCAATGCTAATAAACAACGAAACAGGGCATAGTTTCCACTGGGAGATGACACTCAACTGGCAGTGTGGAAGTGCAGCAAAACAGCTTTGCCTCTAAACAAAGACCACATACCAGACACTTGCAATTCTTGAGACTCATCATTTCAGCTGCTGCTTTTGGGAGTTCCAAGCTCAGATGGAATAAAGATGCTGAGAGTTTTAAGAGGTGGCTGTGTGAACTAAGTTGTTAATGAGCTGTTCATCTTCACAGAAGTTAAAATAAGTGCTTTCAAAAGCATACTAAGCATGAGATGTGCAAATGGGTTTGGGGCACAGTTTTCACATTTTGTGACAAAGGTAAAATCATGTAGGCACATGTAGAATTTTTGTGAGCATGCCGAACCATCTTCAGTAATTACACTAGGTTTCTGCCCTGTCAGTAATTTAGCATAACAGATTTCAGAAAATCCACTGCAGTACACTTCAAAATACCTAATAAGAATTGTAGAGCTGCCAAACTCGAAACTTCTTGCCATGCAGCATACATAAAACCCACCAAACCTCCTTGACAGATGGTGACCACATCAGAATAGATGTTTATTCATCCTGTATTGATATTTAGCCATAGCACAACCCTAGTGCCCCTTTCGCTCTGCCATCATGAATTAATTATTTTCATTGCAAATTACTGGGTTCTGCAAATAGTTGAAAGCCATAATCTAAATTTGAAGCATGTCATGTGTGCTTACATACACTTAGGCACTTTAGGTCTGTCTTTTGATAAAAATCTACACAAGGTTTTAAACCTTATCTATTTTTAATCTGAGAGAAAATTAGTTGAAACGTCTGCATTTAACTAACATATTTCACAGAACAGGAGAAAATAGAATATTCATTGCCAAACTTGATATTCTATTAAGAAGTCTTTTCCTATTAATAGGAAATATCTGCAAAAGCTTGAGATCTTCAGACAGGAAAAAGCCATAAACAAGGTCTGTTCCTTCTTTAAAATAACTTTATTTTTAAAATAAACAAAAAGCCTTTTAAAAATTCATATCCTAAATGCCTTTGATGGTTTAGGAATTTTTAATTGAACTTCTTTATGAATGAATAGCATGTAAAAAAAATAAGTCATCAAGGTTTCAAAAGAATATCAAGTTATCCAAACATTTCACTGTCACCTCTTACCTTATGCAAAGCCTCAGCAGGATCATATTTTGGTCCTAAAACAAAGATCTTTTGCCCTCTTCGCACCACACCACTGAACACTCTAGCAAAAGCAATGAAAGACTCCTTGTTGTCTGCTTCCTGTTTTACAGCCTTTGAGGTCACAGTCTCTGTTTGACTGTTGAGCTGTTGCTCTTCACCTAGTCAAAGTTAGAAAAATATATGAAGTATGAAAACAGTCTCTTTGGCATCATCTAAAAAAAATTAAACACATCGTAGCCTATCGTGACTGATGATGCATTAAAAGACAGCAAGCAACCTCCACTATAACTTAATAACCACCTCTTTATCTTATATAGCCTTTCTGTACCCATTATTTAGATAGTTTCCTTTATATATACATATAATATATATATTTAACAAAACAGGCATTCTGATAAAAGTTTAGAGGAATTAGCTAAACTGGCACACCCTGCAGTATGCTAGACACAGGGTCAGAAGTGTCCAACAGGAAACTAAACAAACCTGAATTTTTCTACATAGCCCATGAGAAAAATACAGTAGTTCTGTATTCCTAGATAGAATAAAAATCAAAATTCTCAGGAAAGTATCTCTTCCAGGTATTATCTCACTTAAGTAGCTCAAGGAACAGAGGAGCACTCTCAGGCCATGTAAGAAAGCTGCCTTTGCATTACTATAGTATTTATAAACTATCAGCATTTTCATAAAACCCTACTGACTGTTTGCTCAATCTCCTTTATTTTCTGTACCAACTTTTGGGGGATGGAGCATGGATGATTCTTGGTAAGGTATACAGCTTGGAAATCAGTACCTACCCCGATGACATTTAGCTAAGGAGAAAAATAGACAGCCAAGTATTATACAGACCTTTTGTCTCACCACTGTTCACTTCAGAT